GTCTGATTCCTGCTTTTCTTCCTTTTTTTTTTTTTTTTTTTTTTTTTTTTTTTTTGCCCTGTTTTCCTCTTCTTCTTCTTCTTCCTCCTCCTCCTCCTCGTCCTCTTCACCTCATCCTGCCCATCGCCATGTTCGCCCCTTTTCGGAAGCCGGAGGAATGCGGAGCGGCAGCGGCTCCGGCTGCCAGAGAGCCCCGGGGCCGCTGATTGGAGCCTCCGCATCAGCTGGGGCCGAGGCTGCCCCTTTAAAGCGACAGCAGCCACCGCCACCCCCCCACTCGGGACACCCCCCGTGTCCCCTCTGCCCGCTCCCCAACCCTCCCCTCCGCAGCGCCGGAATCCCCCCGGGAGCATCCCCTGGATCCCCGCTGGGCCGGGGAAACTGAGGCACGAGGAGCACCCCCCCCCCCCCCACCCGATAAAAACACCCCGAGGCTTTTTTTTTTGGGGGGGAGTAAAAGCTCGATTTGGGGTCTTGAGGAATAACGAGGGTTTATTTTAATCCCCCCGCTCTCCCAGTTTGGGGTGTGGTGGCATGACTTTGGTTTGTATAAATATGGGTTTTTTTGAGGAAATGGGGATCCCCCCCTGCCAAAGATAGATGGAGGTGGGGGTGTTTAAGGCACATTTGGTTATTGGGAGCATCCTCTGGATCCCGCTGGTGGGGGGGGAGTGAAGCACACAACCCAACACCTCAAGGTTTTTTGGGGTATAAACCCAAAATTTGGGGTGTCACCTCTTAACATCTATTCATTTTAAAAGGGGATTTTTGGAGCATTCTCCCATGGTTTGGAGGAAATGGGGATCCCCCGCTAGGAAGGTGTTAAAAGTCCATTTGTTAATTGGGAGCAACCTCAGGGTGCTTGTGGAGGAGGGAAACTGAGGCACACAGAGCCCTTTCCCCCTCCTAACCCCAATAAAAAGACCTCAAGGTTTTTTGGGGCATAAACCCTAGATTTGGGGTGTTGAGGAATAGCGAGGATTTATTTTAAAACTCCCAGTTTGGGGCGTTGTGGCATAATATTGATATATTTAAAAACAGGATTTTTGGAGGAAATGGGGATCTCCCACTGGGAGGGTGTTTAAGGCACATTTGGTTGTTGGGAGCATCCTCTGGGTGCTGGTGGAGGAGGGAAACTGAGGCACACAGAGACCCTTTCCCCCCTTGACCCCACAAAAAGATCCCAAGGCTTTTGGGGTATAAACCTCCCAATTTGGGGTCTTGTGGCTTAACACTGGTTTATTTAAAAATGGGATTTTTGGATTTCTCTCACACTCTCTGTAGGAACTGGGGATTCCTCCACTGGGAGGGTGTTTAAGGCACACTTGGTTCTAGAAGAGGGGCCCCCCAAACTCCCCTGAAGGCCTGGGATGGGATCTGTGAGGCATAACCGGTCCCAAATACCCCCAAAAAACGAAGTAAACCTTTCTTATTTTGCCCCCAGCTCCGCTTGGATGATGAGCAAGGGGTGGGTTTTATCAACCCAACATCCCCCAGCCTCAGCCAACAGCCGGGAATCCCCAGAATCCTCATGCTGGGGACCGAGGGGGCAAAGCTGGAGCAGCTTCCAGGGTGTCTGGGGAGGGATCACACCCAATCCCACGGTGCTCCCACACCTCCAGCACCAGGATAGGCTCTGCCCTCAGCTCTGGGCTCTGCCAGGGAAGGAGAAGGTGGCCCAACCGAGGCTCTTTGGGATGGTGGCCGCCTCCAAAACCCATTTCTGCCCCCCCATTCCCGCAGGCACCGTCCAAAGGCACATGGATCCCCTTCCACCACCCAAAAAGCAGAGAAACACAGCGGCTCTGAAGGGCATTGGCCACACCACAGCAGGGCTGGGGGCACCCTCAGAGCTCCTCCATCTTCATCCCACCTTCCCAAGCTGTCCCCCTTTTCCCAAGCCACTCCCTCCCGCAGACATCCCTGTGGTAACGTCTTGCACTTGTTTGGACTCTGCCTCGTTGGTAACTCCTTCCAGATGTGCTTTGCATAACGTCTCCGTGGCCACGTCCTGCCTGCTCTGGGTTCCTTCAGTGTATTTTTGGGTGTATTCAGTGTATTCTGTTTTTTTAATGCCCTTTTCTTGCTCCCAGCCCTGCTCTGCTCCATAGGAAAAATTCCTGGCTGGTGCCACCAGCAGCACCTCTCCCCTATCAGGAGGCTTTCCATGAGATGAGTGTTCGGCCCTTCCAACACGTCTGCTGAGCTGGAAACTTTTCCAAAAGCTGCATAAGCTCCTGGAAAACGCTTGGCTGACACACAGCCAGCGCTGGGGGGTGAGGGGGAGACGAGGCTGGAGGTGGGAGCTGGGGATTTGAGCTCTGCTCCGCAGCCCAAATCCCTGTGGCACCTTCATGGATGCGGCACGGGGGACCAGGGAGCTCCAGAGCTTGGAGCCCTCATGGCTCAGGGAGCATTCAGGGATGGCCAAGGCCCTGATGCCACTCTGGTGGGCTCACCATGAGGTCCTTGCCTTTTGGAGGATGCTGAGCCCACCCCTCACATGGAGGGCTGGTCAGAGTTCAGTCACTGTCAAGGAGCAGGTTCTCCAGCAAGACAAAGTTCTGCAGAACCTGGTAAACAAGGAGCGTGTGGAGGGAGGTTTGTTGGCATGGGAGAAGTGCTGGGTCTCCTCCCTGACACTTTCCAGCAGTGTGGTGCCCATGAAAGGGACATCTCCTGTAGCTTTACCTCTTCCTTTCTCTCCCTAGGCCGTGAAATGGCAACCCAGTGACTCCTCCACCAGGTCACGCAGGAGGTCTCAAATGAATCATCAGCCACAACAATACAGAGACTGGAGAAAAAGAAAGCTGACACCCTGTAAGAGCTCAGAGAGCTTTGAGTTTGTGAGGACCCTCACAAGAACCTGGAGGGACTTAAGATGTGCAGGTGTGCAGCCAGGAAACGTGGCTTGGTGGTGGCCTTGGCAGTGCTGGGGGAATGGTTGGACTTGATGGCCTTAAAGGCTCTTTTCCAACCTGTGAAGGCCTGGAAGGTTCTCCCCAGGCAGGTACAACCTCCTCTGCCTGCCTGGGATTCAAT